CTATTGCGCAATGCTGAGTGTGCATCCACAACAACAGCAACAACAACACCAACACCAACAACAGCAGCAGCAACAACAGCAACAACAGCAGCGACAGCAACACTACTACAACCACCACCAACACCAACAACAACAGCAACAACAACGACGACAACAACGACAACGACAACGACAACGACAACGACAACAACAACAACAACAACAACAACAACAACAACAACACAACAACAACAACAACAACAACAACAACAACAACAACAACAACAACAACAACAACAACAACAATAACAACAACAACAGTAGCAGCAGCAGCAGCAGCAGCAGGAGCGACAACAACAGCATCAGCATCAACAACAACAACAACAGCAACAACCAGCATGACAACAACTAACAGCAGCAACAGCAACAGCAACAGCTACAGCAGCAGCAACAACAATATCACAACAACAGCAGCAACAACAACAGCAGCAGCAGCAACTGGAGCAACAACAACAACAACCACAACAACCACAACAACAACAATAACAACAACCACAACAACAGCATCAGCAGCAACAACAACGACAACAGCAACAGCAGCAGCAACAACAGTGTAACAACAGCAACAACAACAGCAGCAACAGCATCAACAACAAACACACAAAAAAAACAACGCCAACCACAACCACAACAATATAAGCAACAGCAACAACACAGCATCAGAAGCAGCATCAACAACAATCATGTTAAGGCTGTTCGTTCTCATCTGCTCGCGGGGGCGTTCCACACGTATATCCCAAACCCTCGATACCCGCCCCCTTCGTCTTCGATCGTACCCCCTTAGGGTGTGTGCGTGTATAAATATATCTTTTTAATATATCTATATATATACATATATATATATATATGTATATGTATGTATATATATATATATATGGACATCAATATTTCTTACCTGCAACGAATATGTCATGCAGCCCCTGAGGCAGGGAAATAGAGAACGGATGGAAGGAAGAGACAAAGGGGGGCAGGATGGAGCACGAGAGAACATATAGGAGGGGGCCAAGAACAGAAGACCCGTGGCAGGAACACAAGGGCTGATCGGGCGGGTAGACCCTAACGGGCGGGTCGGGGAGGCGGGCCCAGGCGGCCATGTCGAGCAGGCGGGTTGCTGAAGCGTGATTACCGCATGAATCGCGAGGAGAGCTCGAGCGATAGTGCGACTCCCAAATAAATCGTGAAGAAATCCACAAGGAGAGCGTGACTCGTGAATATCGAAGGCGCGGCGTCTGAACAAAACGCAAGGAAGACCAACTCGAAAGCGCGATTTCTGCATAAAATGTCAGGACGTCCCGCGCGGGAGTGCGATTTGGGAATACACGGTGAGGAAGTATCAAGCAGAAGCCGCTGTGAACCGGGGGCCAGGGGCACAGTTTGGTAACACCTCGGTGCCAGACAGTGCCACAAGCTGAACGCCAGGCCATCCTCGAGGCCCTCCGAGTGGCCCCCTGGGAGGTAGAGATTGCGTCGGACCATCTCTCGGCGATGCGAGTCTAGGTTCTAGGTTCAGGAGCCCACGAGCACGCGAGTGCATGGCGAGCAGTGATAAAGTTATGGCGCGAGGTGTGCACCCACAAAACTTCACTCATTCTTGGCGGCGGTCCGAGCGGAACGGCACGGCGGCGTCCTTCGTAGGGGGCGTGGTGCTGCAGTCCGCCTTGCCTGGACCACCCTTGGTTTTGATGAGCAGGGGTCTCAAGACGTGAGGGCCCATGAGGTTTTCGAGTACCTCGAACACCAGGTTCAGGCGGCAGGCAATTGTCTGCTTCGTCGGCGCTGGGGTGCTCATGCCCGCATCGAGGCGCCAAGCTGGCGCACGCTGCTCAAGCCCTTCCAAGGTGCTCATTCCAGGGCCAGCAGTGGTTGTGCGACGAAGTCCTGGCAGCGTGCGAGCCTTGATAATGGGTGAGCAGGGGTGCTGGCGTCCCCAGGGCGCTAGTATCGCCTGACCGCCCATTTGCGGGCCTCGGCCTGTGCGGGAGAGGCTTCTGCAGGGTGCTGCACGCCGGCCCCCACTTTATCTGGAGTGAATGAGCGCGCTGGCTCCTCCTCCCCGAGGCTCTCGCCTCCCCTGCCTTTCACGGGCAGCGCCTGACTCAGACGCTGCCTCTGCCTCGCTCCCTCCTCCTCCTCTTCCTCCTCCTCCTCCTCCTCAATCCGATCCTCCTCCTCCTCCTCTCCTCCTCCTCCTCCTCCTCCTCCTCCTCCTCCTCCTCCTCCTCATCTTCCTCCTTATCTTCCCTCCTCCTCCTCCTCCTCCTCCTCCTCCTCTTCCTCCTCCTCCTCCTCCTCCTCCTCCTCCTCCTCCTCCTCCTCCTCCTCAATCCGATCCCCCTCCTCCTCTTCCTCATCCTCCTCCTCCTCCTCCTCCTCCTCCTCCTCCTCCTCCTCCTCCTCCTCCTCCTCCTCCTCCTCCCTCCCTCACTCCCTCCCTCTCCCCTCCCCTCCCTCCCCTCCCCTCCCTCCCTCCCTCCCTCCCCCTCCCTCCCTCCCTCCCTCCCTCCCTTCCCTCGCCCGGCGACCACCGCGGGCCCCGCCTGCTTCGGCCTGCGCTTCCCGCCGCCCGCCGCCGAGGTCTCGGGCCGCCCCGGGGCCTTCGGCACCGCCGCCGCTGGCCGCGGCCGTCATCGCCGCCGCCGTCGTCGTCGTTTGGCGACACCGACGCAAACGACAACGGGCGGCTTGGAGGCTTGTGGAATGGAAGTGCTCGAATATCTTCCAAGTTCGTTTGCCAGCAAGGGAGAAGACGGCACGGAGGAGGGGAGCAGAGGGGAGCACAGGAACTCCTGGCTTGTGGCGTCGCGGAGAAATCACGACGGGTCTGCGAGAAAACAAGGTGGTATGGCATGAGTTTGTTTCCCGATCTCCTTTGACCCGCTAAAGCCAGTATGAGCCAGCAGCAACGGAAAGAGAAGGCGGATAATGATGGGAAGGAATGACGGAGTAGAAGGAGGGAAAAGAACTGAAGGCGGCTGCACTGGCGACCATGACGGCCAAGACGAAGGACGACAAAGGAAGCCGACGACCACGGCCACGACGACCACGACGACCACGAAGACCACACCGACCACCAAGACCACGACGGCGGACCACTGACGACGACGCCAGAGCAGCCAACGACCACCACCACCACGACGACGACGAAGGACGGTGACCACGACCACCACGATGACGACCACGACCACGACGACGACGACGACGAAGACGACGACGACGACTCCAACGACCACGACGACGACGACGACGACAACGACGACGACGACGACGACGACGACGACGACGACGACGACGACAACGACCACGACGGCGGCGGCGGCGGCGGCAGCGCGCGGCGGCTGCGCGCAGGCGGCGGCCGGCGCTGGCCAGCCTCAGCTGGCCTGGGCCGCCCGCGCCCGCGGCCTGCCGGCGCGGGCGCGAGCCTCGCAGGCACGGGCGCCTCGACCTCCACGGCGCGCCGGGCCACGCCCAGCGACGGCGACGGCGACGGCGACGGCGACGGCGACGGCGACGAAGGCGACGGCGACGACGACAACGACGACGACGACGACGGCGACGACGACGGCGACGACGATGACGACGGCGGTAGCGGCGGCGGCGGCGGCGGCGGCGGCTGCGGCGGCGGCGGCAGCGGCGGCGACGACGACGACGACGACGACGACGACGACGACGACGACGACGACGACGACGACGACGACGACGGCGGCAGTGGCAGCGGCGGCGGCGGCGGCGGCAGTGGCAGCGGCGGCGGCGGCGGCGGCGGCGGCGGCGGAGCGGACGACGACTGCGACAGCGGCCCCAGCGGTGGCGGCCAGCGGCGGCGATCGCGACGGCGGCGAAGACGAAGGCGACGACGTCACTCTGCGACGCGGCGACGCCCTCGCTCCTGAGGGTGATCTCTCGGCTATCGAGGATCATGGTCGACAATCCGGGTGTGTAAGCGCTTGTCCATACTAGCGTTTCGCAAGAACGAGCTCTACTAATTGTTCAAAAACCGAAGAAAATCCAACAGGGGGGACGGGGAGCCCTAGACCGGTCTGGCAATCGTTTCGCGGTCTCACCTCAGTGCCAGCTAAATCTGTGGCTGACTGCCCACCAAGCCACCCCGACCTAACCCGAAGTCGCTGTTGGGCCCGCCAATTTCCAGTGGGTGGACGTTCTGGAACATCGAGAAAACACAGTGGAACCCGTACACCCCCCAACCCGAAGTTTTGGTGACACTATTGCTGACCGGTTAGCGGCCTCAGCAATGCGTGCTTGAGTGCAGGCTGCGCAAAGACCTCAAAGGGCAACTCCAGCGTGCTTTGCCGTACATAATTGCCCCTTCTCGGGAGCCGCTTCCCGGCCAGAGCTGCATCCGCCTCGACGCTCTGGCCAGGGTGGCGCCCCTGGGGAGGGGGCCCTCTCGACTCGCGGTGCTCCAAGACTGAGGGTCGACGGCGTGGGGTGTCTCGCTTGTCCTCCGTTCCCCAGACACGCTCGCGTCGTAACAACATCAGGACGCGAGGCTTTTCGTGGTTTTCGCCCTCTCGGAGCCCTCACTGGGCCCCAGGACCGTCATAAAACCTTCCGGGGACCGCGTACTGAAAGATCAAAACGACGCATGTCTGGCACTAGGGCATCCAAAAATAACCCTAGGGCCTCCAAAGGCCTCCGAAGACCTCGGGGCCTACTCCAGGCGCAACTGCTGGCGCGCCGCTGCGGCACCGCCCTCCCGAGAGGAGAGAGGGGCATCGAGGGGAGGGGGAGGATCGGGAGTCGATGCATCCCCTAGAAATATCCCCCCCTAAGGTTGCCCCTGGTTTCCGGGCCATAACTCGGCTCGCCGTTCGGGAAGATACAGACACCTCACGCTCTCGGGGAGGCGCAGCTGCTGGAGAACACCCCCCGGGGCTGGAAAACCACTGAGAACCGACGCAAACGCCCGAAAACTTCTCACTCGAACCTGAGCCTGAGCCCATCCC